CAAAACAATCTTTGTACTCTTTTAGCAAAGCGATTAATTTGTTACTAACCTCTTGGTCGAGCATTTGGCTTATGAACGTTGGGCGTTCTTCTCCTTCATTGCCAATATTTACTTTGATCAGAGGATCTTGTGCTTGAGCGTATCCAGGTTTGGCGATCCGCATTACTTCGTCGTCCAGTTCCCTTGTAAGTACTTCCTCTTCTAAACAGTCCACCTTGTTGACTTCTCGGCCAATGCTTTGCTCTAACTCGAATACTGCCAACTTATCCTTCAGCGCTTTTAGAGCTGTCTCTTCTTTCGCCTTGTCATTGCATTCCTTATTGAAAGCCATCAGTCTGGCTTTGAAGGCCTGAATGTCGGCCGTTTGCTTTTGTAACTTAAAGTCCATTCAAGACTCCTTAATTATTCTTTTGCCAATTACTGGCTCTTCCAGGGCCACTATATTTGGCCTCATCTGTTTGAACATTTCAGTGAGTGCGTCCACTGAGAATAGTTCTCCGCTTTGCGTGACAACCTGAGTTTCTTCCCCGTCTTGTACTACCCTGACAGGTCCATAGTTTCCTTCGTACATGAACTTTTCCACCGAGTTTGCTTCTGCGACAAAAGGCCTATGATTGGCCTGTACCACCTCTGCTTTGCCTTTTTTATTCTGTACCACCTCTGCTTCGCCTTTGTTATTCTAAAAGATCAGGCATTGATGGAGCGATGAGGGTATACAGTGACTTCCGTGTATCCAATCTCTTCCTAGTAGCACATTGTAACTAGTAGGACCATCTATTACAAAGAAGACAGTGGTCCTAGTAGTCATCCCTATAGTTATGTCCAATGACATAACTCCATTAGCTGATGTTGCTCCTCCATTGAAGCTAGTGAGGATGACTTCTGTAGGAATCATGTCACCCTCTGTCTTTGCGAACTTTCTCATCATCCTAGATGGAATGGTGTTTATAGCTGCTCCATTGTCGACAATCACTTTTGCCACTGGGACGCCGTTAACTAGAGCTTTAACGTATAATGGCCTCAAGTGTTTAGTCAATTTCATGGCTGGCCGTTTAAAAATAACCTTTTCGACAGCCTCTATTTCTACTTCCTGCTTGTTTTCTGTCGAATTATCCCCCTGTGATAAGTCGACGTGCAATATATCACGCTGATCCTCTGTCTCCTGAACTTCTTTCCTACTTCTTTCTAATGCTTCCTCATCAGTTACCTAACATGTGGGAGGGGGCATTATTCTTGGAGGTGACCCATACTTTTCAGAGCGAGGCACTCTCTTCTTCCTTTTGGGTGTCCCGTACAGTACGTAGAAATCGAAAGGACGCCCAGATGGTTCCCCCAACAAGTCTACTTCGCGAACTCCCTCTCGATGTAGTTGCTTCAATAGATTATTGCGCGATACTCCTCTCTTTCTTCTTTCTGCTTCTAGGTCGATTTCTTCTTCAATGTCTGTCATCCCATCGTCCTCTTCATCGTTGTAGGCCTCTCTAGAAGTCTGGCCTTCTTCACATACCAGCACGCAAGCTTCTCCTTCGTTATCTTCCCTCTCTTCTTCTTTTTCTTTATTCTTGAATTCATTGGCCAGTAGGTAATTATTGGCCACGACAAGAGGCAACATACCAAATTGGATAGTAAGGGGCTAATCTGGATCTTCTTCATCCCTTCTGTCTCGCTCAAACCTTGATCTCCCAGAAGAAGTTTCTGGCAGTTCCTTCATTGATTCATCTGTACCGGTCTCTTCACTATCTTTGAGGACATTTTGATTGGCTACCTTGAGTAGTTTAGGCGCTTTAGGATGTGGTACTCCCTGTTGCTGCCTCATCATCCGTCCGTAGTTTCGTTGGAAACATCTTTGTTGGATCCTAGTCATCTCATCGAAGGGTATTACCTTTCCTGCATTGTACTGGAATGAATGCCATACATTTGGCCGACGAGGTTGCGGCCTGAATGTTCTTCCATTATCTGCTAGCCTGAACTGCCTTTCAAAAGGTGGTCCTCTATAGAATGATGTACCTCGCCCTCTACCAGGCTGAGTGTTCGGGAAGAAGGTAGGGCGATGAGGACGTTGCCATGTCCCTGGTTTCTCCATATTTCCATTCACTTCTCTTTTACACCTTGCACACAGGACGTCTTCGTCCTTTTTTGATTCTTTCCCCTTGATTCGTTCAAAGACGCTGGGATGTGGTCTAGGATCCTCTTCTCCATCATCTACGACCAACTTGAATTTTGGCAACTTGTTTTTGAATCCAGATGTCACCATATTTACTCCAAGTGGCTGTGGGAAAGGATTTTCGTCCACTGCCATCTTCTTCTTATCATCGAACGTAATTCGTCCTGATTCAAGGGCATCCTGCAATACATGGCGGAAAACCAAGCAATTGTTAGTCAAATGTGACCATACATTATGTCACTTACAATATTTTTTACCCTTAATTTGTTCAGGGTTTGGCAATTTGTGCTTATCGCTCAACTTTATCTGCTTATCCCTATATAATTTATCAAATATAAGGTCAGCTTTGATCACGTCGAACGAGAACGTTCTAGCCTTTATGTTTCCATCTTTTATGGGCTCATCTTTACCCGATGGTCTTGGCTTGGCCATTATGGGACAAGTATATGTATCTCCTTTGACCAATTCGGCCAAACACATTTCGTCCCGGTCGTATGATTCGTCACTGATGGTATGAACATCAAAATTTGGGTCTTTGTAATAAGTCCCTTTACTAGAATTTTTCATCTGTTCTTCCTCTCTTATCAGTCGTTCATACCTAATCACATTCGCACTCAACTGGAAAAGGTCAGGAAATTCTTTGTCTTGAAATTTCTTCTTTAAATCAAAGCTCAAACAGCCCTGAGCGATTTTGACAAATTCTTTTTCGGGCAGAGGTACAAAACACTTGCTTCTTGCTGTCTTGAACCTTTGGAGAAAACTTTC